GGAGACATCTGAGTTATATATACATGTCCGGGAATCATCTGCATAAATATAGTAACTGAACCCAGGGGAGTCAATGATATTACTGAGAACACATATACAAGATGTCTTCAAAGTGTTAGTGCAGTTTTAAGCTTTAGTAGCTTAAAACTGCACTAAGGCTTTTGGGACATCATGTAGAGAAGAAATGGTGGCCTAGGACAGAGTCCTGGGGAACACCAACACTTAATACTTAATGAGTAGGAGAGAGATTGACAATCTATCACAAGAGATCTCTGAAGGTGTGGTTGAAAAAGAAGAAAAACTAAGAAAAAGCCAAGGGAAGAGACAGTAGGTGTTCAAGAGGAACTTTTTTCAGTAAGTCAGTCAAAAAACATTTATTAAGTGCCTACTACGTGCTGGACACTATGCCACCAGGAATACAAAGAAAGGCAAAAGATGGTCCCCATTCTCAAGGAGCGCACAGTCTAATGGGGAGACAACATGTGAACAACTATGTATAAACAAACTTTTTGTTGTTGTTTAGTCGATCAGTAGTGTCTACGTACAGAAGAAATTGGAAATAATAGTGGCAGCTAGATGGCGCAGTGGATAGAGCATTGGCCCTGGAGTCAGGAGGACCTGAGTTCAAATCCAGCCTCAGACACTTGATGCTTACTAGATGTGTGACCCTGGGCAAGTCACTTAACCCCACTGCCTACAAAAACAAAAACAAAAACAAAACAAAACAAAAAAAGAAACTGGAAATAATGAAGGAAAGGTATTAGAATTAAGGGGACTAGGAAAAGCTTCCTCTATAAGGTGGAATTTTAGCTGACTTAAAGGAAGATAGGGAAACCAGGAGGCATAAGTAAGAGGAAGAGAATTCCAGGCACAGGGGACAGTAAGTGAAAATGCCCAGGGTCCAGAGATGGAGTTTCTTGTTTAAGGTACAGCAAGGAGGCCAATGTCACTGGGTCAGAGAGTATGTTGGGGAGTGTAAGGTATAACAAGACTAGAAAGGCAGGGGGGGCAGGTTACCAAAGGCTTTGAATGCCAAACAGAGGATTTTATATTGATTATGGAGGTATCAGGGAGCCACTGGAGTTTACTGAGGTGGGTGGGGAGGGAGAGTGACATGGTCAGACTTTAGGAAGATCACTTTCACAGCTAAGTGGAAGATGGACTGGAGTGGGGAGAGACTTGTGTCAGGGTCACCAAGCAGTAGGCTACTGCAATAGTCCAAGCGTGAGGTGATGAGGGCCTCCATCAGGATGGGGGCAGTGTCAGAGGAGTAAAGGGAGTATAAGAGAGATGTCAGGAAAGTACAATCAACAGGCTTTGGCAACAGCTTATATATGGGGGTGGGGGTGCAGGTGAGTAAGGGAGTTGACAATCACATCTAGGTTGTGAGCCTAGGGGACTGGGAGGAAGGTGGTTCTCTCAACAGTAATATGGAAGTTAGGAAAAGAGGAAGGAGTAAGAAAATGAATTTAGTTTGGGACACGTTCAGTTTGAGACGTCCCATAGTTGCAGTTGGCAGATCTGAGATTGAAGGTCAGCGGAGAGCTTAGGGCTAGACAAACAGATCTCAGAATCATCTGCCTAGAGGTGATAAATGCATCTATGGAAGCTGATGAGATCACCAACTGAAATGGTATAGAGGAAGAAGAGAACTCAGGACACAGCAGTTAGGGGACTGCTAAACTTGGAAATAGTTTTTGGAGAGCAAGGTTGAAAGCTAGATTGCAAGGGGTTAAGAAGCAATTGAGCAGTGAAGAAATGTAGGCACTAAGTAAAGACAACTCTATGAGTTTGGCTATGAAAAGTAAAACAAAAATGAGGATTAAGGCAAGGTGGCAGTATAATTAGTAGTAGTAACAGTGATAATTGGGGAGCTAGGTGGCACAGTGGATAATGCACTACACCTGGAATCAGGAAGGCCTGAGTTCAAATCTGGCCTCAGACACATATTAGCTACATGACCCTGGGCAAGTCACTTAACCCTGTTTGCCTCAGTTTCCTCATCTGTAAAATGTTCTGGAGAAGGAAATGGGAAACCACTATAGTATCTTTGCCAAGAAAACTCCAAATGGGGTCATGAAAAGTTGAACACAACTAAAATGACTCAACAACAACAAAAATAGTGATAATGATAAAGCAGGACCTATTCTCTGTGCTCCTTGATTCAACAGGGTAAATTACTCTTTTGCTATTCAGTGAGTTCCAATGTTGACATCTCAGACTATCTCTCTTCTGGCTTATCCCTTCTCCTTCGCCAGCAATTTATACCCAAATCAGGAATGTCTTTGTTGGCATGAACATTTGGGCTGGTGACAAATGTGTTTATTTTCACTGCCTGGGCCAACATTCTGAGTTCTGGATAAATTCCACCTGGAGAAATCTAGCTGCACTAGCAGCCTGAGGGAGGGGATCCACAGGGCTTGATTTTGATCCCACTCTTTCAAACCAGATTATGACATTTTCATGACTGGAAGACCAGCTACATTCTTCTATTCAGCTTGTTATTTGGCTGTGAAGGGAGACTTAGAAATCTGTTTCTATTTCACTCAGAGGAAGGGCAAAAAGAATGTCAGGAACAATTGAACAGTGAGGACACAAATCAGCCGCACAGAAGAGCCACATCTGTTTCACACAGAACTGCCTAACTTTTGCATTTCCTCTGCTGAAAGGATAACCACCCACTGTTACTCAGAATAGCAACTTTTCTGTCTGATTTATATGCAATCGACCAGGCCTGGTAAAACCAGAGCTGGAACAGAATGTTAAAATGAAAAACGTCACAGGAAGCAATCTTTTTTTGAAAACCGTAAACAAGGAGATTATATCCTATTGGGCTTGGGCAGTGGACTTGTTTAAAATATGTATGCGTGCATGTACATGCACACACACCCACCCACACCCACCCACACCCACGCAGACACCCCTGTTGTTTAGGGCCACTAAAATCGCAAGGCGACATCATTCAGCTCAACCCAGGCTGCCAGTAACTGTGTCATTCACTGAAAAATCTCCCTTTGTCAGTAAGAATGCCAGGATTGAGAAAACACAAGTTGTTGTGAGAAGCGTACTTGGTTTCTGAGCTGACCTCACACCCCAGTACATTTTAATAGAAATGTCTGAAGAAACCTCACTTGTGAAGGGAGGATGATAGAAAATAACCACCTTGTACAGAAGACAGAAAGAGCACCACTGAAGTAATGCAACAGGGATGGCCTCTGGGACACAGACTGGTAGATTTTCTACCATGAAGCAAACCTGGTTTCCCTGCAGGGGCCAACTAAGAAAGGGCCAGGGTCTGGGAGGCCTTTTAAGCACTTTTTTCCCCCAGAGAAAGCTCTCTGATGACAAGGGCCATTGTTTCCTCTTCCCTAGATATTCTGGGAGAAGTCTGAAATGCAGTGCTGACTCTTACACGAGGGAGCTCTACTGAGAAGGCTAGCTGGGAAAAGACTGAGCTCTACTTTGGAAGGGCCCTCTATCAGGTAAGAGCCTTTGGTATGGGCAATGGTCACTTGGCCAGAAGTGCCCTAAGTGAAGAACTGATGCTGTAAATTAGACCTCTGTGTGTTTGGCAAAAGAAGCAGTAGCCACAGTCAAGATGTGAGGCTCTCACACTACTTCATCAGCTGTTTCATCCTTCCTTCCTTCTCACTGCCATTTGTTTAAACTGACTATCCTCCAACTAAAATCACTAACATTTTCTTTTTACAAATAACTAGCTAGCATTCATATAGTGCTTTGAGGTTTCTAAAGCACTTTATTGTCTCACTTTATCCTCACAACAACCCTGGGAGGTAGTTGCTACTATTATCCTCATTTTACAGAGGAGGAAATTGAGGAAAAATGAGGTCAAGTGACTTTTCCAAGGTTACACAGCTCAAAAGTATTTGAGAGTAGATCTGAATTCAGGTCTTCCTGAGTCCACACCTAGTGCTCTATTCACTGTGCCACCTAGCTGCCTCAATTTTCTCTTGTGTATTCCTAGTATATCATTAACAAGATGCTATCCTGGGCGTGAACAAGGAAATGGACTAAGGTTAGGCTTTTTTCCAACAAATTTTGAAGCCTCCTAACTCAGTGGATCCAGATCTGACCCTGGCTGTTCTAGAACAAATAATGAAGTGTAACAAACAACATGAAAGTTCCTAATCAGTAGATCTCCAAGGAGGTTGCCTCCGGCATGGACCTCTTTCCAGCACAGACCTCTCTTTATGGTTTCTGGAGATCTCTAACATGGCAGAGAGTGTAATACTGGTCAATTCAGGGTCACTGTGGTGAGTCCCCATGCCTAGTCATCTCAAGATCTCCAGAAAAAATTAGAAGCCTGGACCCATGATGAAAAATGCTATCTCCAGAGAGAACTGATGAACTCAATACAGACTGAAGCATACTTTTAAAAAATTGCTGCATTTTTAAAATTTGGTTTGTGTTTTCTTTTAGGAAATACTTAATGAAATAAATAAAAACAATTAAAAAGAAAAAATGAGAAGCCCTCTTCACAAAAAGGTCGGGGACCACAGCAGATCCTACCATTGCTATCATTATCCCCTTTCTTTTTTTTTCTCTCTCTCTCTCTTTTTTTTTTTTGGTGAGGCAATCGGGGTTAAGTGACTTGCCCAGAGCCACACTGCTAGTGAGTGTTATATGTCTGCATCATTCCCTTTCTTAAAGATTTAATCTATCCTCGGGACACCAACGCTACCGAGATACTAGGGATTAGATCTAGCACTATTCGAGAAAATCAGAAACCATGAAGTCAAAGTAAATCAAATTCAAGCCCATTTAAAAGCATTCACTAAAACTCCCCAACTGCTATCCTTCAGATTGTAGCAAGAAAAGAAATATTTAATAATCTGTCAGAAGATATCTTTTTAGTCAGCAGTCCAGTTGAATTTTCAATTCAATTCAATCCTTATTAAGTGCTTACTATAAACAAGGAACATCACAGAGATGCCTATACCAGAATCTGGGCATACCTCATTGAGGAATGAGTCTCTTACCTGCAGCAGCTCAAGGTCGGAGGAGTCTTCTTGCCCAGGAACCATCTCTGTTAACATCTCAGACATGACTTTTGTGTTTCCTCGGACAACATCAAGTTCACTCCGCAGCCTGGCAATCTGTTATAAGCCAAAGGCAGGGGCGAGGAAGAGGGATAAATTAGCAGTTATCTTAAAAGAATTGTTTTTTTTTTTCCTCAATGCCTTTCAAAAATATTGCATTTGTTTCTGAATATCTCCCTCTCCTTCTCACCTATCAGTGAGCCTTCCTTTGGAATAAAAATTAAAAAATAGAAAAAAAATGAACTCAACAAAACCAGCCAACACATCAACTATATCAAAGGTATATGCAACATTCCATACTCAAAGTCCCTAAACTCTGCAATGAAGGGAATATTTTTCTTAACAATTCTCAGGGCAAAATTTGGTCACTATAATTATATAGTGTTTGGGTTTGTTTTATTATTCTTTCCATTGACACTGTTGTAGTCACTGTAAACTGAGAAAAGAGGCTCTTTTGCTCTATTTTTTTCTCCTATGCTAGAATGCACGTTTGCAAGAAGAGGTGGCATCTTTGGCAATTTAGTGAGACACAAAGGTGTCACTAATGAGGCAGGACTACTTCAGAGAAAACTTATCAAACAGCATTTAAAATGCCTATTTGCATGTAGTATTGCACTAGGGACATAGATTACAAATTCCTAGGAGGCAAGAACTGAGAGAGTATTTATTTAGTAAGGTAATCAGCTCTTTCAGCACTCTTCCAGGGGAGGAGAGGAATGGGGGGAGGGAGGAGAGGGAGAAAGAAGTGGAAAAGAAAGACAGAGAAAGAAGGCAAGGAGGGCAGCTAGGTGGCGCAGTAGATAGAGCTCCAGCCTTGGAGTCAGGAGGACCTGAGTTCAAATCCGGCCTCAGAAACATGACACTTACTAGCTGTGTGACCCTGGGCAAGTCACTTAACTCCAAATGCCTCACCAAAAAAAAAAAAAAAGAAGGCAAGGAAAAGGGAGGGGGGACGGAAAGAGAGGAAGAGGAAGAGGAAAAGGGAAAGGAGGAGGAAAAAGGAAAAAGGGAGAGAGAGAGAGGGGAAAAGGAGATGGAGAGGGCAATAGGGAGGCAAGGGAGAGGGAGGGAGGGAGAGAAAAAGAAGGAAGGAAGGTTAGGAGAGCAGTAACCTGCTAGCCTTAGAAACTACCTGGTGGAAAGAAATCCTTGGAATTTGCTCAGCCAACTATGTGGAAGTGATTGAAACCTGCTCATAAAAACTTGAGAACTGAAATAAATACCTTAATTTTTCCTGCTGCCAAAGCCTATATTGTTGCAAAATTTTTTTCCTCTGTGTTTTCTGTCACAATTCAATGTCTCAGTCCTCTGATGATCCTGGCAACTCTCTGCTTACCCTTCTCCAAAATCTTTCTGACACATGTGAAGGCCACAGAAGGCTTCCATTAATTCCACAATTTGTATCATAAAGGAGCTTGCTTAGGTATTCATCACATAGAAAAAATGATTACTAATGATAGAAGAAAATGGCTGAAGGGCATTTCCCTGCCACAAACTACTTAGGTGGGAAGTCCAATAATTCATAATATGAATGGTAGATACTCAGTAGAAAATCTAGAACCTAAGTTACAGGTTTCCTCCACCTCATATCAGCTGACTGATGGGCTACATCACATAATAAATTATTATGAGCTACCATAATAAGCTAGGCCATCATTCATTCCCCAAGTGATGTCTGCTGCTAAGGTATCCCTGACCAGGAAATCAGTGTGAATTCCAGGGGCACAGAAGAGGGCAAAAATTACTAAAATACCAGCAGGTCAAAAAACATGTTAGATAGCATGGCATATCTGGAGGACAAGGTATAAACTAGTGTGGCTGGAGTGCAGATAACAAAGAAATTAATAATATGAAATACAGTAGGGAAAAGAAGTGAATTGTTGGATTTTGGGGTGCCTTGAAAGTCAGGAAAAGGTACCTAAATTGCACGAGGTAGGCAAAAGGGAACCAATAAAAATTTTAAAATAGAAGAAGAGATCCATGCAAGTGAAAGATTATTCTGGCAGTAGTATCAAGGACAGAATAGAGGGAGTGGAGACAGGAAGACCTGTAAGGAATCAAGGGGTAATGATGACCTGGATGAGAGTGGTTATAGTGGGAGGAAAAAGAAGGAAAGACATATTAATGACATTTTATTGAGGTGCAATCACGAAGACTTGGTAACTAATTGTATATGAGAGGGTGGTAAAAAAAAAAACAAAACTTCAAGGGTACAAACACTGGAGCAGCCATGGTATCAGCAACAGAAATGGTGAAGTCTACAGAGTGAGTAAGTTCAGGGGAAAGACAGTGAGCTTGGTTTTAGACATGCTCAATTTGGAGAATTGGTAGGACATCCAGATAGTGACATCCTGAAGGCATGGTGCTCATGGGGATATGAGTCCAGAGCTCAAAAGGGAAGTCAAAGATTAGAGATATAGACATGAAAGTCATCCTTATAGATCTGTATAAAAAAGTGACAGCTGAAGCAGTGGCAGAGAAAGAGACTGCAGAGGAAAAGGCATCCTGAGAGAAGACTGACAAGGGCAGGCCTGATGGAAAGAAATGCCTACAATGAGGAGTCGGGAAGCTCTTTGGAGGGCCAGTGAAGGAGTGGTTGGAGAAGAAAGAGGAGAGCTAACAGTGGGTGGTATTAAAAATTCTGAAGCCAAAAGAGAAAGTGGTGAGAGAAGTGAACAACTGTATCAAAAGCTGCAGAGGTCAAAGAAGAAAAAGTCTGAGAAAAGGACAATGGATTTGGCAGTTAAGAGATCATTGATGACTTGTGAAGAAATCATTCTAGTAGAGTGGTAGAAAGAGAAGACAGATTGGTTAGAAGCAGAAGAATGGATAAAGACAACTTTTCCCAAGGTGCTTGGCTGCAAAAGGGATGAAATGGTTGAGCCAGGGCCTAAATGGCCTAGAAGGGTTAAGGAGGAGCTTTTATAGGACTGGGGAGACAAAAACAGGTTTGTAGGTAGAGGAAACCAGTGGCAGGGGAGAGAATAAATATGAATAATAAAGAGATGACTGTTGGAGGAAAGTTCTGGAGGAGCTAGAAGGGAATGAGATAAATGAAATCAGTAGAAGAATCAGCCCATGTGATCAGAGGGAAGGAAAAAAAAAGTAGCTGCTGCTACTGAGATTTTCTGAGGAATGAGGAAGGAAGCTGAAGGAACTAACGTTAGACAGGTTCTTAATGTTGTCAAGCAGGAAGACGGCACTGGGTATAAATGTGGAAATAGGAAAGAAAGGAGAAAAGAGAAGGAATAGTGATGCTGAAGGGAAAAAGAGAGGTGGTCAATAAAGGCAGAGATGCAAGCAGCATCCAGGAAATAGCTAAGGTTGTGCAACAGAAAATTTATAGTAGGTGAAGTAACCTCAATTTGGTGAACTTATCCATTAACGCGCAGTAGCCCTGGAATAGGTACAAAGAAATCTGATGGTGCAGGTTATTAGGGGTGAAGATTCAAAGGCTGCGAATGTTTGAAGTTAAGAAAGGCAGGGGATTCTAGTAGAGTAGCTTGTGAAATATTTAATAATAATAACTAAATTTATATAACTTAAAGTTTTCAAAATATTTTACAAATATTATCTCATTTGAACCCCAAAACAAATCTGTGAGACAAATACTACAGATATTACATCCACTTTTCAGATAAGAAAACCGATACTCTGGGAAGTTAAGCCATTTGCTCATGGTAAACTAAGTGTCCAAGGTAGAGTTAGAACACAAGCCTTCCTGACTCAAAGTCCTGCGCTCCATTTGTTAGCGTGTTGCATCATGCTAACAAAACTGGGAATGAAACCAATTGTTGGTGAGAGAGTAGAAGACATGGGATGGGTTGAAGGAGCAAGTTTGGTTGAGTGAGCCAATCGAAACTCAGCTCAAGTTATGCTTCCTGCATTAAGCTTTCTCTGATCACCCAAGCCCATATTGATCTCTTCCTTCTCTGAGCTTATTCTAGTATTGGTACTTAACATACATTGTCCTATTTTTCATGTTTGTCTGTTTGCTACCTCCTCAAGTAGTAAACTGAGGGCAGGGACCACCTGTTATGTGTTTTTGTATCTGCACCTACTGCAGCATCTTGAACACAGTAGCAATTGCTTAGTATCTGCAACATAAAATCTTAGTTCTGGAAGAAATCTTGAGGGATAATTTATTTTCTGCCAGTACCTTTATCAGAACTATATTGCAATCACATTCACATGGAATTCTATTTTATTTTTTAACATTTCTAGGGAAAGAATTTCCAAAGTCTCCATCTGTAATTCTTTTTAAAGGATAGCAATAATTCATAATTTTAACCAAAAAGTAATAGGGATAAACATAAAGTTTTACATGTAGGTTCTGAAAATAAAGTTCATGTTATGTTAGAAACTTGGCTAGATAGGAGTCAATTTGAAAAAGATCTGGGGGTAGACTGCAAAATTCAGTATATCAACAGTGTGACATGGTTGCCAAAAGAAGCCAATGCAATGTTAGCCTGTATTAAATTTTTTTTCTGCCTCTTGTTTCAAGGAGAAATAGGAAAGTCACAAGATAATAAACTGACCTCAAGAATACTGTTATTAAAACAACTTCCAAGGTATGTTCTTGGATCATTCCACATTCAATCTAAGCTTTTAAAACAAAATCTACAGTCCTATACAATAAGAATTGATTTTCAGAATGATAATCATCAGTCTCTGCAAGCTCCTTAATCAAACTAAGATTAAATAATAATCATTACATTTAGTAAGGCAGGAAAGCTACAAAAATACATTTGAGAAAGGTTTCCTGTAAGAAGGGTTGAAACCAAAATGGGCTTCAAATTTACCCTAAGTTAACTACTTACACAACTAGAAAAACTTTTTTCTCTAGGAGTCTAGTTTTTTGGAGTTTTCCTATATAAGTTCTTAAGATGAAGATAAAGGTTTGAAAGAATATTTTTTAAAAGTTTAGACAGGGCCATCATTTTTAACTCTAGTTCAATTCTCAAATGTTTAACCATTGTCAATCCTCGAAATTTTTAAAAAAAGGTATCCTCCTAAACTTTTCTGATGAACCCTGGTTTGGGTCATTACCAGGTTAGATTGTACAGGAAGTGTGGCAAAGTAAGCTACCTTGCTAACAGACTCCAGGTTAAAAGATACCTGTTCTGAGTTGGCGGTGATTGACCCAGTCACATTCAAAGATGGGGCCTGAGGGGCTGCATATGGCGTAGGAGAAGGTGCCGAAGAGGATGTGGAGCTCACTCTTTGCTGCGATTGAGACTTATGCATAGTCGCTGCCGGATCCACTTCAGGGATGCTCTGTCACACCAATAACAAAATCCTCCATGCATTTAAACTGTTTAGATGAATACACATGAACTATCCCACCCTGAATAACATCCCAGATGCCTGAGGAGGGGCAGAAAGACTGGCAATCCAGCCACCATGGCTCTAGCGTCAATCTGACTGCTGATTTTGTAGTCCTGAATGGTGTGAGAAGAAATAAAATAGCCCTGAAGATATGTTAAGCTCTTCAAGGGAATTATGACTGTGGTTATAATGAATATCTAGCATTTTAGATAGGAGGCTGATGATACGTATTATTAATCATAGACTTTAAAAATATTTATTATCATCTTTGTTTTTATATTACATTGATTTGCCAACATATATCTCCCTTACCCTGTCCCAGAGGGTTTTCCCTTATAACAAAGAATTTTTAAAAAATGCTCATCAAAACTAATACATCAAAAAACAGAACATTATATGCATTGTTCTACACCCACAGTCCCCCAACTTTGCAAAGAATGGGCGAAAGCACCTCCCCCATGATCATGATAATTTCAGAGCATTTAGTTTCATTAATCATGAATTCTTATACAGTATGATAACTTACTATATTTTGGCCTTTACAAGGAGAATAATATAAATGGTAATTATATAATTACAGAATATTCTTTGTAACCACTGGCACAACAACACTACTTTGTGTCTTTATTAGAAGAGTAAAGCAGTTATGCTTAAACCACAAAGCACAGAAAGCAGTTTGTATAATACAAATCTCAATCATAATGAGTACAATGTTTTGAAAAGCACGACTCCCTTCGAGCATCTCAAGTCACTTCTTGTACATTAACTCATTGACTGTCAAGACTCCCATTTTTATGATAAAAATTTATAAAGCAGTTTGAGATTATCAAAGCACTTTCTTAACAACAATCCTGTGAGGTATATACTAAAACTATTATCCTTATTTTATAGATGAGAAAGCTGGGATTCTAAGGAGCTAAGTTACTTGTCCATGAACAATACAGCTAATTAAGATCTGAAGCCACATCTGAACCCAAGTCTTCTTATTTCTGGGCCAGGATGCTATCAACTCGATCATACTGCTGTTACCATCACAGTATTACATAAATGGAGGTCAAAGGGCTGGTATAATATAGGCAGGTACAAAACAAAGATCTCATTTCATTCTGTGTAATCACATCTTATTGGTCCAGTAGACCATATTCGACTGGGAGTTAGCACATGAGTTCTAGTCTCAAGATCCGCCTTTGGTGTGTTCTCAAACAAATTCCTTAACTTTTAGTCCTCTCTCTTTCTGTAAAACAGGGAGAATATATGATGCTCCCAACCTCATTTTGATAAAATGAATAAAGAAATCTATGTGCTTTCAGCTCCTGTAAGCACAGCATCATGATCATGACTGCTAGCTTTATAAAAACTTTCTGGGGAGACCTCTAAGTTTTAATTTCCTTGAACTACATGTTTTAAAGTTGTGGTTCCCAAAGCTGATTGGAATGAATGGTTTGCTTGGATTCACTTTGAATATTGTTGCTAACAAAAAAAAAAAAAAAGCATGACTCACTTGATTTGCAGTGGTGGGAAAAAATGTAGCTCTTTGCCACTCTGCAAAATCATCAGTAATCTCCATCCCTCTGTGTCCCCCAAGACTGAAGGTGACTCTCAGAGGGAGAGATAATTGAATCTCTCAAACTCTAATCAGATTTCTCAAAAGTAGATACTAATGAGGCTTATATGATGAGTCTAAGTAAGCAACCATCTTCATGAGAACTTGACGTTAAAATGATACAGCAATTGGATCTTTCTAGGCTTCATATTAAAATCTTCTGAAGGTGAAGCAGATTCCACAAGCTTTTAAATCACCAACCAGTTGCCTCATTTTATACATTCCTTATTGTTCCTAAAAAAAAAAATGCCCTCGGGGCAGCTACGTGGCACAGTGGATAGAGCACCGGCCCTGAAGTCAGGAGGACCTGAGTTCAAATCCAGCCTCAGATCAAACACTTGACACGTACTAGCTGTGTGACCTTGGGCAAGTCACTTAACCCCAACTGCCTCACTAAAAAATAAAAATAAAAAAAAATAAACATCCTACAAACTTTGCAAAAGTGTGTTCTGAAGTTTAATAATTAAGAAGGAACAACAGAAGGTTGGTGGAAGGTTATCCAGTTCTTTACTGGGTCTTCCTGGAAAATGCCATGCTGTTGCTTACCCGCTGTGGTGTATGTATTGGAGACAGGGCATCTAAGTCTGCCATGGGAAATTCAATCCCTTTTCTTTTCAGTTCTTCATAAATGTGCACCACTCCAGTGAGATCAGGACTACTCCGAAATGCATCAGCCCAAGCCTAAGAAAAATGAGAGAAGAAATCTTTCATGACAGTTTACTTAAAAATTTCTGCCAAAGTTAAAAATCTACAGACCCAGAAGAATTGCAAACTATTAACAACCATATGGAAAGACTGCTCAGAATCATTAAGAGAAATGCAAATTAAAAGAATTCAGAAGTTTCACCTTACATCCAGAGAACTGGTAAAAACCAAAACAGACAGGAATAGTCAATGTTGGGGCGGGGGGGAGCATGGAAAGACAGGCGCACTGTGGCACTGTGAACTATCCAACCACTCTGAAAAGCAATTTGGAATTATGCTAAAAAAGTGACTAAGATATTCATAATCTTTGACCCAGAGATTCCACTGTTAGGCATATATTACTTCAAGGTAGTTAAAGATAGAAAAGTCCAACATATTCCAAAATAATATTTGCAGCAATTTCTTTGGAAACAGAAAAAGAAACAATGTATATGCTCACTGATTGGGAAATAGCTAAACAAATTGTAGTACAAGAATACAATGGACTATTTATTACTGTGTTATCAGGGGTTACAAATATAAATATGAAGAATTTTGAGAAATGGGAAAATTGGTAAAATGAAGCAAGCAGAACCAGAAAACAATATATGCTATAACTACAACAATGTAAATGGAAAGGAAAAAAAAGCAAAACTAAATGCTGTGGAATTCTAATGATCAGGCTAGGTCTTGGAGAAGAGCTGAGAAAAAAGCCCTGATTTCCCTTCATGTCAGAGACGGGGCACTACGTTAACGCACATGTTGTCAGATGCAGCTAGTTATTTTTCACTAAGTTTGGTTTTTTTCTTCCTTTTTTCCTTCTCTTTATTACATGGGAAGCCTTGTTAGGAGGTAGGGACATACATACAGAAATGAAACTATTAGCTCCTCAGCTATCTCGAGGATCAAACACAAACTCCTCTGTTTGGTATGTAAAGCCCGTCACAAATTGGCTCCAACTTACTTTTTCAAACTTACTATACATCATTTCCATCATTATATATCATCTACAATCTACTCAAATTGGCCTGCATGTCATTGTTCTCACGCATTTCTATTTCCAGCTTCCATACCTTTTATAAGCTATCTCTCATGCCTGAAATGCATGATCCCCTCTTCACTTGTCTTTTTTTGTTTGTTTGTTTGTTTTGTTTTTTTGGTAAGGCAATCGGGGTTAAAGTGACTTGCCCAGGGTCACATGGCTAGTAAGTGTCAAGTGTCTGAGGCCAGATTTGAACTCAGGTCCTCCTGACTCCTGGGCCAGTGCTCTATACACTGAGCCACCCAGCTGCCCCCATCTCTTCACCTGTCTTTAAGAAGCCCTGGTTTCTTTCAAACTGTCACCTTTTACATGAAGCTTTTCCTGATCATTCCGGCTGCTAGTGCAATTACTTTGCATTTATTTTATGTGTGTGTGTGTGTGTGTGTGTGTGTGTGTGTGTGTGTGTGTGTATGCATATGTTGTCTCCCTTGATACAATGTAAGCTCCCAGAGGGCAGGGACTATCTCTTTTTTTGGTTTTGTATACTCCCAATGCCTAGTACAGTGCCAAGCACACAGTAGGCACCCAATAAATGCTTGCTGACAGGTTGATGTAAAAACAAAAGGCATAACTTTTTGGGGGGGAAAAGTTTATGGACTCCCCAGTTCTCCCTTTTAGGTCAACATGCTACAATTTTGGAATACAGACAGAACTAGTAAAATTTAAATCTGTTCCTCTCTGGCTAGCCCTGCTAAAATCTAAGCTAGTGAGCTGAGTTTGCAATAGTGTTAGTGGGAACAAAACATAAAACTTAATATTTCTGTGGAACAGATATAGACAAGAAACACACAAGGACTGCTGCGTATCCTATAACGAGGACATTTCCCAAATAATAATGCACTAGGATGTATAGTTGAAAGAACAGGAAGAGAATGCCTTGTTATAAGGCCAGCGTGTCAGCTACAATGAGAACTTCACAGCTTCGATTCATATGCATTCTTACGCTCTTCTTCCGTTTGGTATTCTCATATATGGTATTTAAAATGACATATAAGGCAACTGCTAAACTGAGTAAAATGGAGAGAGAAATAGGTTTATGACATGTAACACGTAAAACATGTAACATGTAAAAGGTCTTTCACCTTTAGATTACAGACCGTTAACACAAAAAGGAATCTCAGAGATCATTTAGTCCAAGTGCCTCATTTGATAAATAAGGAAATTGAGGCCCAGAGAGATGAAAGGACATATAGCTAATTTGTGGCAGAGCTAGGATTGAAGATCAGGCTTCTTGACTCCCAACTTCAGGGCTTTTCATGTAGACACATACGCATCTAGAAAAGTATCCCAAGTCTATCATCAGAAATAAGTGCTTGATGAAAATAAAAAATAAGCATTCTTTTTACTGTGTAATACTATAAGAAAAAAAAAGAAAATAGAATTATCTCCTCACTTTTACACCCCCTTATATTTTCTACTGATCTTGAAAACTAGTTTTACTCTTCAGGATTTGTAGCACATTTCATGACAAAGTTAGCTAGATGGCTTACCAAGGGCCAATACAGGAACAGAAAAAGCTATTTGTATATTATCCCATGTAAGCTACATACTCGGAAGAGGCTGTGCCAGCTTTCCCAGAAAATGTTTGCATTTGTAACCTCTGCTGCTGCCAGACTCATTTAATTGCCTCCCTGGATCAGGGACAGAATTTCAACCAATCCTACTGCACCAGGAGAAACCCTATCTCCAAACATTGGAGCCATTAGGAATGAAAAGGTCAGTTTCCTAAAAGACTCTTTAACTACAATCGGCACATCGCATTTACTACCAAAAAAAAAAAACAAAACCCAAAAAACCAACCCAAAACTCTTTGTATGCATTTACTTGATCTACTTACTTAATATGTATAATCAGAAATTTAAAGTCTGTTCATCAAAGCAACTTCTAAGTTTAATTCTGGTCTTTGAACAATTATTTAGTTGTGTAGTTAGCAGCTAAGTTAAAATCTGACCTTAGATATTTGCTAGCTATGCGACCTTGGACAAATCTGTTCGCCTCAGTTCTCTCAACTGTAAAATGGGAATAATATGGAAATATTTTGGGAATATGGGAATAAAAAATGGGAATAAAAGAAGAACAGCATCTTCTTTCCAGGGTTGTCGTGACGATGAAATGAGATAATATTTGTAAAACACTTAACACAGTATCTGGTACACTGTAGACAAATGTAGATAAGTGCTAGCTATTATTTTTAGTCTTTATTGAGGATTGAAGGGGGATCTTTCCCCGTTCACCATGAAGGCTTCTATAACACCACAAAGGTTGCTTTAATACATTTTGGGGGGGGGGGTAGTGGCTAGGATATCCTCACTTCACAAGTGGGACCAACCTACCTTCTTTTATCTAACTACTGAATCAATCAATCAATCAATTATATATCAGGTACTATGCTAAGTGCTGGGGATACAAAGAGAATACAGAAACAAGCCATGCCCTCAAGAAGCTTACATTCTAACAGGGGATACCACATAAACATATCCAACTAAGTATATGTTACTCCTTCTAGGATAAAATTTTTTAAGGACCAGTCAGCTCCATCCTGACATCCTATCCAGTTATAGGTATGAGAAGAGAGATATTACAGATCTTCTGGAATTTATTTATTACCTTCACCTCCCCCCCACCCCAGTCATTCTGAAGTGGACACAAAATGTTGCACAAGACCTCTTCCAACCTCCTCTTCTCCTTTCTACTACAGGCCAAAGCTGTAGTTAGATCAGCCATGACAGTAATGAGGACTGGGGGGGGGGGGGGTCGAGAGAATAATTTTAGTTCTTTTTTTCACACCTCAAGCTCTCAGTTAGATACTAATTCAGTTTGCCAGGTACATATTCCTCTGACAGGTTGAATGCTGTGCACTATCTGATCACAGCAGGGACTATCAGTTCAAAGAATTATAAAACTTCTCTTCTTCCCTAACTGATTGGCAGGAAGAAGGCTGAACTGGAAAGCTGTGGTAGTACAGAAGTAAGATTAAAGTTGGGATAGGGTACAGAAATACACAACTGGAAGAAATTCAGAAATGATATTTATGCAACATCTCCTTGGGACGATGTCAAGATCAATTTCTCAAAGATTCTGAATATCCATGACTTTCCTCTCCTCCCTCCTGCCTTCTGGAGTCCCTGCTTTCCTTCAGCATTCAGCTCAAGTATCTTCTGTAGAAGGCCTTTCCTGGTCCCCTCAGTTTTTAGTGCCGCTGCCAAGTATTCAATGTGAAATAATGTAATTTTCATATCTTTCCATTTCTACTTCCACAACATTTCTTCAATCTATCCCTTTCACAATACTGACACAGCAACTACTTTCGTTCAGACCCTCATTTACCTCTTTTTTTTTTTTTTTTTAGGCAATTGGGGTTAAGTGACTTGCCCACAGTCACACAGCTAGTAATTGTGAAGTGTTTGGTCTGAGGCCGGATTTGAACTCAGGTCCTCCTGACTTCAGGGCCAGTGCTCTATCCATTGCACCATCTAGCTGCCCCCCTCATTTACCTCTTACCTGGACTAACTGCAGTGGCCTAATTGGTCTCCTAGCTACATGTCTGTCTACACTTGAATCCTTCCTCTGCACAGCTGCCAAAATGGTTTTCCTTAAGTGTAGGCATGACCAAATCATTCCCTACCTTTTTGGCCTCATTATACGTTACTCTCCTTCCTAAACTACAGTATAGGCAAATTATCCTCGCGATTCTTCACACACAGCACTACGTCTCCCACTGTGACTTTGTACTGGCCATCTCTCAATGCCTGGAATGTACTCCCTCAGTGACACCTTGGGAAAATCTCTTATTTCAAGACTCAGCTCAAGAACTACCTCTTACAGAAAGCCTTTCATAATCCCCTCAATTACTAGCACCCTCTCCCGCTAAACTATTGGTTTATCTGCCTACCTATCTACCTACCCACCCACCCTGTGTCTCCCCTATACAATGTAAGCACCTTGAATGCATTTC